GTGCAGTGGCACGATCTTGGTTCACTGCAACCTCCACCTCCTGGGTTCAAGTGATTCTCCTGCCGCAGCCTCCCGAGTAGCTGGGATTGGAGGTGCGCACCATCATGCCTGGCTAAACTTTTTGTATTTTTAGTAGAAACAGGGTTTCACCATGTTGGCCAGGCTGGTCTCGAACTCCCGACCTCGTGATCCACCTGCCTTGGCCTCCCAAAGTGCTGGGATTACAGGCATGAGTCATCAGGCCTGGCCCAGGATCACCTTTCAAATTCCATCCATGGCAATCTAGGCTTTTTTCCTAGCACGTGCCTCAAAACTCTCCTAGCCTCTACCCATTACCACTACCACATTTTAAGCAGCACCTTCACTTCTTAGTATCAATTTATGTCTTAGTTCAGGCAAAGTGCTGTAGTCTGGGGGCCTATAAAGAACATAAATTTATTTCTCCCAGTCTGGAGGCCGGAAGTCTGAGATCATGGTGCCAGCATGGGCTGGTTCTGTGAAGGGCTCACTTCCTGGCTGCGGACAGCTGACTTCTTGTATCCTCATGTGTTAGAAAGAGGGCTTGGGAGCTCTCTGAGGTCTCTTTTAAAGGGCACTAAGGGCCGAGTACGGTGGCTCACACCTGTAATCCCAGCACTTTGGAAGACTGAGGTGGGTGGATCACCTGAGGTCAGGAGTTCGAGACCAGCCTGGCCAACAAGGTGAAACCTTGTCTCTACTAAAAATGCAAAAAAAAAAAAATTAGCTGAGCATGGTGGCAGGTGCCTGTAATCCCGCTACTCAGGGGGCTGAGGCAAGAGAATCGCTTGAACCCAGGAGGCGGATGTTGCAGTAAGGTGAAGTCGTGCCATTGCACTCCAGCCTGGGGAACAAGAGTGAAACTCCATCTCATAAATAAGTAAGTAAGTAAATAAATAAATAAATGGCACTAAACCCATTCATGAGGACTCTGCCTTCTAAACCAACTTCTCAAAGTCCCTACCTTCCAATATCATCACCTCATGGGGTAGGATTTCAACAAAGGAATTTTGCAGGAGAGATAAATATTCAGTCCACAGTAGCCCCTAAACAACTAAAACTCAGTATACCTGACAGTGCACCCACCGTCTCCCCCAGTTCCCCTCCCCTGTGGCAAACCAGGAGCCACGTAGAACTTGGGCGGTGGCCTCCGCTTCTGTACTTCCTGTCACCCGGTGTGCCAATGGCTCACCAAGCTCCCTGGATCCCACAAGTGGTCTCTTTCCCTGGTATCTGGACTATTGCAAATCCCTCTTCTCCCCAGGCCATCCTTCTCTCTGTCCCTTTCGGGCAATATGGGTCTGATTTTGTCCCTCCCTTGTTCAAACATCTTGGTTGGAATTCCATGCCACCAAGGGTGACGCCCGGCCCCTTGTGCTCTGACAGGTCCCTCATCGGCTGTCCCATGCCTTTGTGATCTTGGTGGGGATTACTGGCCTCCCTAGCTCTCTGAGGCTTTGGCCTCTCCACACTTTTCCAGGTTCTGGCTTTTCCAAGTGCTGTTCCCTCCCCTAGGATTGTGCTCTCCTATTGACACCCTCGCCCTTCCAGGTCTAGGCACATTGGGTGTCCCCACCAGGCCCCTTCTGCTCTCTGACCTGCAGTTGCTGCCTGGCACTGGGATGTTCTGTCACAAGGGCATCCTTCCAGGAAGCCATGGGCTCCTCAGGATGGGCACCCTGCTGCCTCACTCATCTTTCATCAGGGGCCAGAGAAAAACACTTTATGAGGCCAGGCACAGTGGCTCATGCCTGTAATCCCAGCACTTTGGGAGGCCGAGGCAGGCGGATCACAAGGTCAGGAGATTGAGACCATTCTGGCCAACATGGTGAAACCCTGTCTCTAGTAAAAATACAAAAATTAGCTGGGCGTGGTGGCACGCACCTGTAGTCACAGCTACTTGGGGGGCTGAGGCAAGAGAATCGCTTGAATCCAGGAGGCAGGGGTTGCAGTGAGCCGAGATTGCACCACTGCACTCCAGCTTGGGTGACAAAGTGAGACTCCATCTCAAAAAAAAAAAGAAAAAGAAAAGGAAAGAAAAAGAAAAACACTCTATGGGCAAACATAGGACCGCCTGGTTTGTGTGGCTTCACCGTCCCTGAATTTGGTGTAGCACTAAATGGGAGCTATTCCTTTTATGCTCTGGTGCACCAAAGAGGAAGGTTCTTTTTTTTTAAAAAAAAAAGAAAATATTAAAGTGAAATTACGTATATTAAGATGAGCATAAAGTCTTCCAGTAAAAAATAAGCTAAAAATATCTATGTAATTATAAAATCAGTTTAGAAAGTCACTGAGTTCTAAGGCATGTAACCTTCAGCTAAATTCCACATGTTCCATTTTCCATTGCGTTTAGTGCTTATTAGGCAGGCTGTTATTAAAATCTCCTTTTAACTGACATTTTGTTCTGAATCATTCACAAAATAAAGTACTGATAAATATTTCAAATATTTATACCTGACTGGCACGTAGTAGGTGCTATATAAATATCTGAGAATGGGCCGGATGCAGTGGCTCACACCTGTAATCCCAGCACCTGGGGAAGCCAAGGTGGGTGGGTCGCTTGAGCCCAGGAGTTCAAGACTAGCCTGGGCAACATGGCGAAACCTCGTCTCTAAAAAAGAAAAAACGACAAAATTAGCCAAGCATGGTAGCGTGTGCCTATAGTTCCAGCTACTCAAGAGGCTAAGGAGAGAGGATCACTTGAGCCCAGGAGGCGAAGTTTGAAGTATGCCAAGATCGCACTACTGCACTGCAGCCTGGGCAACAGGGTGAGACTCTGTCTCAAAAAGAAAAAAAATAATTGGTGAATGAAGTAATGTTATATTTTTTAAAATAAGTATTTAGTTATTTTAGGTGTTTTATCTAAAGTTTTTTTTTTCCTTTGGGTTATAAAAGTTAAATATTGGAAGCAAAGTGCTTTCTTATTTACATAGTAACTTCAGCCTTCAGGAGTTCTTGGTTATTGTTATACAGTTTTTCTTGATTCTGAGGGAGAATCTCTGGAATTGGAAGGAAGTGGATGGAAGCTGAGATTATCTGGTTCAATACTTTTATTTTACCAAAGGAACAAGACCAAAGAGTTAAATTAGAAACCCAAGACCTGCCAGGCTTGGTGGCTCATGCCTGTAATCCCAGCATTTTGGGAGGCTGAGGCGGGCAGATCACTTGAGGTCAGGAGTTCAAGATCAGCCTGGCCAACATGGTGAAACCCTGTCTCTACTAAAAATACAAAAATTAGGCAGGTGTGGTGGCACATGCTTGTAATTCCAGCTACTCGGGAGGCTGAGGCAGGAGAATTGCTCGAGCCCAGGAGGTGGAGGTTACAGTGAGCCAAGATCGCACCTCCACACTCCAGCCTGGTTGACAGAGTGAGACTCCATTTCAAAAAAAAAAAAAGAAACTGAAGACCACATAGCTGGCTAATGGCAGATCTGGAAATATAGGATAGTGAGTCAACACTATATTGTATAAAATAAGGAACTGCACATTGCTATTCACTTATTCTATTTTCAGGGTCACATGGTATGTCACCAGACTATCGAATGTTTAAAAACATTTGTATTGTTATATTTAGTAGGAAAATGCATTGAATTTTCTTTTTTTCTTTTTGGTAGTGAGAAGACATTTCTCAAATATATATAGGAAATGTGGTAGCTTTTAATTAACTGTGTCTTTTAAATCCATAAACACAGTAGTTTATTTTTATCACTCTCAGAACACATTTTCTACTTGCTTTGAAAATCAACAAATTTAATTCACAGAGGCAGAACCAGCAGTCGACCCACAGAAGGCTACAGCATCAAGAGTTAAATGGACCCCCAAATCTAGGGGGAAGGTGAGGAAAAGGATAGGATAGATGCCCAGGAAGGGACCGCCTCTGTCGCTGCGGCACTGAGGTACCCAGAAACCCACACTCTGTGGATGAAAAGATTTCGCCACAAGGAGACTTTCCAAAATAAACTGTTCTGTTGGGTGGCTGGAAGTACTTTACCGGTGAGGTGGAGGTGGAGATTTTCCCTTACTTTTCATCAAGAAGATAATTTATCAATGTGGGATCGTATCATGTTATGGAAATAGGTTAAAAACAAAATCAGTCTATCCCTGTGCGATAAAGAATTAACTTTACCCAAAGAGAGGTCTGGCTTTTGCCCTGGGCTCTTGGGAGGTGCTCTCTAAGCTGTTGGAATGTGGTGTCTGAAAAGAGGGTCTTTCCTTACCCAGGAGCCTTGGGCCACACTGGATAGGGTGGGGTCTCTGGGTCATGTGATATCAGCTTTGCCTCCAGAATGGCTGGAGACTGAGGTCAGCCACCTGGGCAGCCAACCAGATCTTTGTGACCAAGCCCCAGTAAGAACTCTGGACACCAATGCGCAGGTGGGTGTCTCTGGGTGATGATGTGCCATGCATGTTGTCACACATCGCTGAGGGGAAGGTTAGCGCTGTCTGTGACTCCCCAGGGAGAAGACCACTAGAAGCTTTGTGAGTAGAACTTTTCTGGATTCTCCCCATGCATCTCTTCCCTTGGCTGATTTAACTCTGTATCCTTTCACCGCAATAAACTGTAATGGTGAGTATAACAGCTTTCAGTAAGTTCTGTGAGTCCTTCTAGCAATTTATTGAAACTGAGGGTGAATTTGGGCACCCCCAAACTCTGCCATTCATGTCAAAAGTGAGAGTGGTCTTGTAGACTGTCCTCTAACTTTGCAGGTCTCTAATCTGATTTATTTAATTAATTAATTTATTTATTTTTGAGACAGAGTTTCACTCTTGTAGCCCAGGCTGGAATGCAATGGTGCAATCTCAGCTCACGGCCACCCCTGCCTCCCGGGTTCAAGCAATTCTCCTGCCTCAGCCTCCTGAGTAGCTGGGATTACAGGTGCGCACCACCATGCCTGGCTAACTTTTATATTTTTAGTAGAGATGGGGTTTCACCAATTGGTCAGGCTGGTCTTGAACTCCTGACCTCAAGTGATCCACCTGCCTCGGCCTCCCAAAGTGCTGGGATTACAGGTGTGAGCCACCGCACTCAGCCTGTAATCTGATTTAGAACACAGTGGCCACTTTCCTCTAATAGCCTTCCTTTCCTCTGGTCTCTTTGTCCCTCCCTCCGTCTGTCCTAAGTGCAGCTGCTCTGTTAATTTTCCTCACACATGTCTGACCCCACACATCTGTTATCTTCAGTACCTTGTAGGTAATTCATTGCTCAACAGAGTTAATGGACGATCCAGGCTGGGACTGCCCAGATGAAAGCTGAGTCACTCCTGACAGCTCCCAGGCCCTGCCCTGTCCTCTGTTAGTACTGCTGCATTCTCACCTGCCTGTACGGTTTCTCCTCCCAGTGAACCTGAGCTTTTTGGGGGCAACTATGAAGAGGCCGTTGATCTCTGCTTCCTCAGCACCAGCACTTCTAGGAGGCATTGGGAAGGGGCTGACTCATGAAGGGGAAGCTGAGTCAATACGGGGAAGCCAGTGGACTCGGTGGTGCCATGCCCTTGGTGTGAGTCTTTCTTCTCTGCAGTTACTGACTGAAGCATCAGCATTTGCTTGGTATCCCATCTTGTGTGTCTTGGGTCAGTGATGATTCTTCAACCGATCTCTTTAGGAACTAGCAGGTAATGGCTTCTGAGATTGGTGCCTAAAGCTTGGAGGAGGTAGCTAGTTATGATCTGTCTTTGTGAGTCCAAAAAAACCATCAAAACTGGATTCAGTGTTTTAGTGAAGTGAGAAATGTTTTTTGTTCTTTTGGGATGTGTTGCTCTGGTGGACGGTCATGCTTTTGGTTAACTAGGGAAAAGGCCAGAGAGATCAGGAGACACCTACAAACCCTCGTCTGCTTTAAGGAGAGATGGTAGCACTGGACGAGTTTCGATGATCATGGGAAGCAGATCCATCATCTCAGGGCTTAATTGCTGAAGACTGGAGATTGCTATGCTGAATACATTTTCTGAATCAAAAATAGATGATGGCCAAGAATTTTGCTCTGTTTCTGGGCATTAGAGGCAGCCTGGAGGATGTTGCTTGGCTAGTGAAACATTGGAATTTCCTAAGCATTTTGATGGTTCGTGTGTCCTTAAAAGACTTGGACAAATTGCAGCCATATCACCAATTATGAGATGCAGACTATAGAAATAGCCTTCATGGAAACGAATTACCTAAAACAGGCTGCCCCAGATAACTCGTGGATAAGATGCTGGGATGCTTATGTGTTTATCTGAAACTGTGGAAAACGAGGGACGTCCTGAGATATTGGTTTCTCTGGAATATTCCTAACCAAGGATCCTGGGATACATAGGGTCTGGGGGTTTGGCTGTGGGCTTTCGACCAATAGAAGCATCCTGAAGCAAGGAGCACCTAAGGGGTAAATACTATAGGCCAGGTGTGGTGGCTCATGCCTGTAATCCCAGCACCTTGGGAGGCCAAGATGAAGGATCACTTGGAAGGATCCTTGAGCCCACGAGTTTGAGACCAACCCGGGCAACATAGTGAGACCCTGTCTTAAAAAAAAAAAAAAAGGAAATAAATAGTGTAATTTATTGGATATGCTGAGGGTGAAATTTGAAGTGAATGAGATCAGGAGTTGCCTAGGTACACATAATTTGGATGTCTGGTTGTGGCACAGGGCTCTTATATTCTTAATTACAACTCAAACTAGGCCAGGTATGGTGGCTCACGCTTGTAATCCCAGCACTTTGGGAGGCCAAGGCAGGTGGATCATGAGGTCAGTTCGAGACCAGCCTGGCCAACATGGTGAAACTCCGGCTCTACTAAAAATACAAAAATTAGCTGGGTGTGGTGGCAGGCACCTGTAATCTCAGCTACTTGGGAGGCCAAGGCAGGAGAATCCCTTGAGCCCGGGAGGCAGAGGTTGCAGTGAGCTGAGATTGTGCCACTGTACTCCAGCCTGGGTGACAGAGCAAGACTCAGTCTCAAAGGAAAAAAAAAAGAAAAGAAAAGAACTCAAACTGTAAAGGAATGAATAGTCCCACTTCCACTTCCTTGCACTCAGAGTTATTCATCTTAAATCACCTCATAAACTATATAGTTATATATAATGTAGTGAGATCAATTTGTAAGTTAACTAAACAAATAGAAAGTGATATTATTATTATTATTTAAGTAGCCTACATTTAGTGCTAAAATGCATTCACTATGGTAACAGAGAATGCATTGCCTTAACCATTAACCAAATGGAGCGAAACTTTATGAAACAAGAAAGAAAAATATTCACTCATAAACAAAGTAGACTTAAAGAAGTAGCATGTATTTAATAATTAGAAATTGTTCCTTGAAAATTACAAATGACTGGATTTTGGAAAAGTATCTTCCATAATGAAAAGCTAGTAGGTAATATGAAAACTTTACATTTCCTATTGAAACAGAAACAACTACCTTGCCCTTAACGTCCTGTAGAATGTTCTTTGTTGAGTTACCAGGACTAATTGTTCAAGAATTTGGTGTCTCGGCTGGGCACAGTGGCTCATGCCTGTAATCCCACCACTTTGTGAGAACGAGGCAGGCAGATCACCTGAGGTCAGGAGTTCAAGACCAGCCTGGGCAACATGGTGAAATCCTGTTTCTATTAAAAATACATAATTAGCTGGGTGTGGTGGTGGGTGCCTGCACTCCCAGTTACTCAGGAGGCTGAGGTAGGATAATCACTTGAACCTGGGAGGCGGAGGTTGCAGTAGGCCGAGATCATGCCACTGTAATCCAGCCTGAGCAACAGAGTGAGACTCCATCTCAAAAAAAAAAAAAAAAAAAAAAACCAAAACCAAAGAATTGAGGTCTCATTAGAAGACGAGTGTTTTGGGTAGGGATGGGTCCCTCTAGGAGAGATGTTTGAGATACAGGTGTGACGTGCCACTGAAATGCTTGTTTCTGGGTCCTTGACTTTGTAATGTTGACAGAATTCCTTTCTTCCCAAGAATTCATAGCTTTTCACTATGATTAATATTTCTCTTTCAGAGTATCTCATAAGGAAACTGGTGATGGCACCGTACAAATTAGCACACAATAAATGAATATCACCATAAAGAAAAACACTGTATTTCAAAAGCATATCAGAAACACAGCAATCAAAGAGTTTTGAAAATGAACAGCCAGTGGTTGCCAAGGTGTGGAGGTTGCCAAGGTGTGGAGGTCGCCAAGGCATGGAGGTCACCACAGTGTGGAAGTTGTCATTTGCCCCTGGGGGCAGGAGTGTGAATGGATACAACCTTTCAGAGGGCAGTCTGACAACGCATATCATAAATCTGTAAATGCTCATACTCTTTGGCAAAGAGATTCTACTTCTAGGAATATATCCTAGTGAACTATTGAGAGTCTGTGCAAAAAAAAATGAGCAGCAAGGAGTTTTTCACAGTGTTATTTATAACAGGGAAATATTTAATGTCCAATAATAGATTGACTATTTAAATGATCACATATTTCTCAAATGGAATACTACAGCATTAAACATTATTTTAGAAGAACATTTAATAATCTGGAAAGACATCCATAGTATTTTAAATAAAAAAGCAGATTGCAAAACTGGAATGGTAGTGTGCTCTTACTTTGTTTATAAATAGACTTTTATATGTGGAATTTTAAGCATGCACATATACTTTTTAAAGGACTAGAAGATTGATCACCAAAAATATTTCATAGTACTTGTTGCTGGTTGGTTGGATTCTAAGGGAATTCTCCTCCTTTTGTAACCACCCAAGGGGTTCACCTTGCTGGCTGCCTAGACAGAGTCGATTCATCAAGACAGGGGAATTGCAATAGAGAAAGTAATTCAGGGAGAGCTGGCTGTGCGGGAGACCGGAGTTTTATTGCTACTCAAATCAGTCTCCTGGAGCATTCAGGGAGCAGAGTTTTTAAGGATAATTTGGTGGGTGGGCGAAAGCCAATGAGCCAAGAGTGCTGATTGGTCAGAGATGAAATCATAGGAAGTCGGAGCTGTCTTCTTGCGCTCAGTCATTTCCTGGGTGGGGGGGCCACAGGATCAGATGAGCCAGTTTATTGATCTGGGTGGGAGCAGCTGATCCATCAAGTGCAGGGTCTGCAAATATCTCAAGCACTGATCTTAGGAGCAGTTTAGGGAGGGTCAGAATCTTGTAACCTCCAGTTGCATGACTTCTGAACCATAATTTCTAATCTGTGGCTAATGTTAGTCCTACAAAGGCAGTCTAGTCCCCAGGCAAGAAGGAGGTCTGCTTTGGGAAAGGGCTGTTACCATCTTTGTTTAAGCTATAAACTATAAAATAAGTTTCTCCCAAAGTTAGTTCAGCCTACGCCCAGGAATGAACAAGGACAGCTTGGAGGTTAGAAGCAAGATGGAGTCAGTTAAGTTAGCTCTCTTTCACTGTCTCAGTCATCATTTTGCAAAGGCGGTTTCACTTTTACTCATACGTGTTTTTTTTTTACCATAAATGTGTCACTTATGTAATAAGAGGGGAGGAAGTTACTTTAAGAAACAACATCAATCCCTTAATGCGCATAAATTTAGAGCATGGGTTCAAAGCGTTCACATAGCCATAGGGAGCCTGGTCCACTTGAAAATGATGGGCTGCTATGTAGTCTCCAGATTTATTTGGGGGAAAAACACCGCAATTCACTACATAAATCTACCTCCGTAAGAGCTCTTCATATTGCAAAGAATCACGAATTCAAATTTTACAGTAAATTACTTCTTGGCATCGTCAAAATTAAAGCACTTACCTGATATTCTAATCTGCCTGGTTATAAAAATAGTCCGTTTTCCAGAAATTCCCCTTTTCCTTCCAGAAATCCACATATATAAGTCCTAACCAGAATGCTTCTTCCTTTTAAACAGAAGCCATAGTCCCATCAGATGAGTCATCAAAGAAATCACCACCTCCACTCAAAGGCAGGTTTCCCTAACACCACAAGCCCTTCCCTGCCCTCCTGCATGGCTACATCCCACCTTTACTGGCTCAATGCCACCTCCTCCAGGAAGTCCCCCATCCCATCCTGTGGCTGGCTGTGTTTGTTCACTCTTAGGTCTCCTGGAGCACTTCATCTGGGCTATCAGAAACCCTGGTCACTTTATTGGGAAGTTAACTCTGTCCTATTAGACTGGGCAAGGAGACAGGACCTGGCCTGAGTGAGCCTGCCCCACTTGTCGCTGTGAGGGGCAGAGCACCTAGTATGCTTTTGAGGCTTTCTACGTACTTGCTGAATCAGCAGATCTGGGGGAAGCTTGAAAGCACGTCGACATTCTTTAGGGATTGTCAGACTTCTCTCGATAAATAATCACAGGGACATCTTCCAGACCCTTTTCCTTTCACTTATTAATGTAAATCTTCTCTCCTTCCTACTCCCTTAAAGGATGGGTGTACCACCGGGTACGGTGGCTCACGCCTGTAATCCCAGCACTTTGGGAGGCCGAGGCAGGTGTATCACGAGGTCAGGAGTTCGAGACCAGCCTGGCTAACATGGCGAAACCCCGTCTCTACTGAAAACACAAAAATTAGCTGGGGGTGGAGGCGCGCGCCTGTAATCCCAGCTACTTGGGAGACTGAGGTAGGAGAATCGCTTGAACCTAGGAGGTGGAGGTTGCAGTGAGCCACGATCGCACCACTGCACTCCAGCCTGGTGACAGGGTGAGACTCCATTTCAAGAAGAAAAAAAAAAAAAAAGGAAAAGTGATGAGTGTGCCTTGAGCTCAAGTAGTACCATTATTTTCCAGGGGGGATATCAGTTTACCCGCAGAGAAGTGAAATTTCTTTTTTTCTTTTTTTTCACTTACTATTCATCTCTCCCCCGAACTGACCAGTTGCAGCTGCTTTTTCTAATTTTAAAGCCATGTCTCATTTTTTCCATGCAGTGAAGATTGCATGTTAAATTGCTACTGTTTCTAAAATGTTGCTGAGCCCTTGGAGTAGCTTTTATTTGTCACAGAGTCAGCGAGCTGTTTAGGCCTGCTTCTCTGTTTAGCTTTGGCTAAAAAGATAGATGGCTCTTAATAGGTCTCTCCATCCTTTCTTTTTTTGTGGGGGTCTCAGAGGAAAGTCTTGCCAGAAATACAAGTTTCTATTTGAAATTAGCATTTGTTCTTAAAAAAAAAAAAGAGTCTGTAACCTGTCACCAGCTGAGTTTTCTGTTAAGAAGTGATAGATTCTTACCAGGAGAAAAGGGAGCCTTCTCCACAGGCATGAGTCAGAGCAATGACAGAAGAGAACAACAAAAGGAAACTTCTTCTCGTTGAAAACTCCTGAGAATATATCCTGTCCCCTCCTTAAAGCCAGGGCCTCAGTTTCTGTACTTCCTGTGCTGTCTCTACTGATTGTATAGTTGCTTGAAAGGTGGAATGCTCTACATTTTCAAGGTTGAAATCTCTTGTGATTACCAAACTAAAACTCAGAGGAAACGGACACTGAAATACATTCCTGATTGGAGAACAAAACTATCCAACCTCATAGGGAAGGGAATTTGACACTAATAGAACTACGAGTGTAGGCCGGCGTGGTGGCTCACGGCTGTAATCCCAGTACTTCGGGAGGCCGAGGTGGGCGGATCACCTGAGGTCAGGAGTTCGAGACCAGCCTGGCCAACATCATGAAACCCCATTTCTACTAAAAGTACAAAAATTAGCCAGGTGTGGTAGTCGCACGCCTGTAATCCCACCTATTCGGGAGGCTGAAGCAGGAGAATTGCTTGAACCCAGGAGGCAGAGGCTGCAATGGGCTGAGACTGCACCACTGCCCCCCAGCCTGGGTGACAGAACAAAACTCCGTCTGGGAAAAAAATAAAAAAAAGAAAAGAAGAAAAAAAGAACTATAAGTGCATTTACCCTTCCACCCAGTGACGCCACGTCTAATAATTGCCCTGCAGACACACACTCTGAAATAAGAAAAAGATACAGACAGAGTTATTCATTGTGGCATTATTTTTGAAAGTAACATATTAGAAACAACCTAAATACCCGTCCTAAGGAGACTGGTTGAATAAACCATGGTATAGTCACCCAAGGGAGTGCTATGGCGTTGCAGACATAAGAATGAAGAAGGTGTGTTGGGACTGAAAGGAAGTGATTTCCCACCGTCGGTGAGAGAAGCCAAGGATACAGTATCTGTGTTGTGTGCTACTTTTGTGAGCTAATGATGGAAAGGGACGTGAAACAATTATATACACACTTCTTTTTTTTCCAAAAAGAAATAAGGAAAGAAAAAAAGAGAAATTAATAAAAATGGTTACTTCCAGAGTTGGGGCTAGGGGTAAGACTTTTCTGAGTATATACATATATATATATCTCTCTTTTTGGAGATGGAGTCCTGCTCTGTCACCCAGGCTGGAGTGCTGCGGCATAATCTCGGCTCACTGCAACCACCACCTCTCTGGTTCAAAGTGATTCTCCTGCTTCAGCCTCCCAAGTAACTGGGATTACAGGTGCCTACTACCACACCCGCCTAATTTTTTATTTTTAGTAGAGACAGCATTTCACCATGTTGGCCAGGCTGGTCCCGAACTCCTGACCTCAGGTGATCTATCCATCTTGGCCTCTTAAATTGCTGGGATTACAGGCATGAGCCACCACGCCCGGCCTATAGTTTTGACTTATAAGCCACGCACATGTTTTATATGCTTCAAATAAAAGAAATCTAAAAGTATGAAAAAAACTCTAGAATTGAAAATAAACCAAAACAAATGAACCCAAGTGATTATGTCATTGATAACATAACCCCACAGGAAAAAAATACTTAGTTCCAGTAATTTTTCAACATAGTACTCTATTTTTCTACCCTGACTGAGGTCTATTCTAGGACTAAAAAAAAAAAGAGATAAATTTTACACTTTGTTTAGCTGGTGGTGTGGGTTGTGTTCCCTAAAAATATATGCTCAAGTCCTAACCCCAGTACCCATGCTTGTGACTTGATTTGGAAATAGGATCCTTGTTGAAGTGGATTAGAGTGGGTCGTAATCCAATGGCTGATGTCTTTATAAGAGGAGGGAAATTTGGATGCACAGACAGACACAGAGAAAGGAGAATGCTATGTGAAGACATTGGCAGAGCTTGGGGTGAGGCATCTGCCAGCCAAGGAGTGCCAAGGGTGCCAGCCGCCACCAGAAGCCAGAGAGAGGCGGGGAGCAGCTTCTCCCCACAGCTCTGAGAGGGAGTGTGGCCCTGATGATGTCTTACTTTGGCACTTCTCGTCTCCAGAACTGCAAGAGGGCAAATTTGTGTTGTTTAAAAGCCACCCAGTTTGCAGTGCTTTGTTCCAGAAGCCCTGGCGACCAAGACAATAGATTTACTGCTGATTATGGCACAGGTGGAGTCATTCTGAAATTGTTCTGTGTGCATTTGTAGAATAGAACAATGTCTCACAACATACTGATTGTTGAGGACCTGGTTCTCACTGTTAGAAAAGCAACATGTGCGAAAAAGATACTTGCACACCCATGTTTATAGCAGCACAATTCACAATTGCAAAAAACTCAAATGCCCATCAATCAACTAGTGGATAAACTGTGAAAATATATATATATATATATGCAATATATATATGCTATATATATATGCAATGTATATG